CGAGGCCGAGCGGGCGCTCGCCGGGAGCATGGACGCGGCCGGGGAGCGCAGCCTCCCGGAGCCGGGCAGCCAGGACTCCCGGGCCGGCGACGACATCGAGATCGTCGTCAACGTGGGGGGCGTGCGGCAGGTGCTGTACGGGGACCTCCTCAGCCAGTACCCGGAGACCCGGCTGGCCGAGCTCATGGGCTGCTTGGCGGGGGGCTACGACACCATCTTCTCCCTGTGCGACGACTATGACCCCGGGAAGCGCGAATTCTACTTCGACAGGGACCCGGACGCCTTCAAGTGTGTCATCGAGGTGTACTATTTCGGGGAGGTCCACATGAAGAAGGGCATCTGCCCCATCTGCTTCAAGAACGAGATGGACTTCTGGAAGGTGGACCTCAAGTTCCTGGACGACTGCTGCAAGAGCCACCTGAGCGAGAAGCGCGAGGAGCTGGAGGAGATCGCGCGCCGCGTGCAGCTCATCCTGGACGACCTGGGCGTGGACTCGGCCGAGGGTCGCTGGGGACGCTGCCAGAAGTGCGTCTGGAAGTTCCTGGAGAAGCCCGAGTCGTCGTGCCCGGCGCGGGTGGTGGCCGTGCTGTCCTTCCTGCTCATCCTCATCTCGTCGGTGGTCATGTGCATGGGCACCATCCCCGAGCTGCAGGTGCTGGACGCCGACGGCAACCGCGTGGAGCACCCGACGCTGGAGAACGTGGAGACGGCGTGCATCGGCTGGTTCACGCTGGAGTACCTGCTGCGCCTCCTCTCCTCGCCCAACAAGCTGCACTTCGCCCTGTCCTTCATGAACATCGTGGACGTGCTGGCCATCCTCCCCTTCTACGTGAGCCTCACGCTCACGCACCTGGGCGCCCGCATGATGGAGCTGACCAACGTGCAGCAGGCCGTGCAGGCCCTGCGGATCATGCGCATCGCCCGCATCTTCAAGCTGGCCCGCCACTCGTCGGGCCTGCAGACCCTCACCTACGCCCTCAAGCGCAGCTTCAAGGAACTGGGGCTGCTGCTCATGTATCTGGCCGTGGGCATCTTTGTCTTCTCGGCCCTGGGCTACACCATGGAGCAGAGCCACCCCGAGACCCTGTTCAAGAGCATCCCCCAGTCCTTCTGGTGGGCCATCATCACCATGACGACCGTTGGCTACGGTGACATCTACCCCAAGACCACTCTGGGCAAGCTCAACGCGGCCATCAGCTTCTTGTGCGGGGTCATTGCCATCGCGCTGCCCATCCACCCTATTATCAACAACTTCGTCAGGTACTACAATAAACAGCGGGTCCTGGAGACAGCCGCCAAGCACGAGCTGGAGCTGATGGAGCTCAACTCGAGCAGTGCGGCCGAGGGCAAAGTGGGGTGCTCCCGCAGTGACCTGGACAGCCTCCCGCCAGAGCCCGTCGGGGAGGAGGGGCCGAGCTGGAGCAGCCGGCTGAAGATCTCCCACAGCGACACCTTCATCCCTCTCCTGACTGAGGAGAAGCACCACAGGACCCGGCTCCAGAGCTGCAAGTGACGAGGGTCTTCCGGGCACAGATGGACTCGGCCAGCGGACGGATGGACAGGTGTGATGGGCCTGTCCGTGACTTCCTGGGAGGGGCTGTCCTTTGTCCCCTCAACCGTCTCCTGAACAGAACTCTGAAGGCCCCCTTGGGCACCTCTGGTGAGGCTGGGTAAGACCCCTCTATGTTGCCGGCAGTCAGGAGCCCGTGGGGAGAGAGGGGTGTCCAGGAGTCGCGGGCAGCGTGGGGTGACGGAGGCCATGGTCTGGCTGATGGCAGGAGCCCTTGCCCGGTTCTGTATCTCCTTCAATAAAGCCTCCTGCTCTGTGCACCCACCTGTGTTGTAGGTTCTGTCCCGGGCTGGCTTGGCCCCCGATACCCCACCCCTCAGACATGGCTCGGGTGCTCACAGTGCCAGGCCGGGAAGTAGGTGTGCAGCCCCCGGGGGGGGGGGGCGGCTATTTTTAGTTGAGAGCTAATTAAAGAAGGGTTCATACACAGGGTTCCGCGCCAAGGAGCCTTGCCACATTCCAGGAGGCTCTGTGCCGGCGACTCCTTCCTTCTGTTTCCTTCTGAGGAAAAGCTTGCTCCCAGGAGGGGAAGAGTTCACCGAGCTAGAAACACCGAGTGGCGTGGTTACCACTTACTTATCACCTGTGGGAGGCCCTTTTCACAACTTCTTTCCATTCCTTCCAGCAACCCTGCTAGATAGGTATCCCCATTTGACAGATGAAGAAACTGAGGCCCGGGACCACACAGAGCAGGGATTCAGTCCCAGGTGTAAAGATCCCAAAGCCCATGCATTCTCTTTGCTTTGAGGTGGCCTTGGGACAGAGGCGTGCGCTTGGGCCCACAAGGGAGGGAAGGTCTGTAGATCAGGAGAAGAGCTGAGCTTCCTCAGGGTGGGTGTGCCTGTCCTCCAGCCCATCCTTCCTTCTAGAACCAGGACCTCTGCCGTATCAGCTGAATGGGCAAACCTGAGTGTGCCCGGGTGGTCCACTTCCAGCCTGGCCTATGAATCCCAGAGGAACAGAGACAGACAGACTTGGGTTTGCAGCCCAGGGAATGAGGAAGATATCTCTGAGATGTCCTCCAGCTCAAATACTTTTCTCGCATTTTTCTTTAGCACTTTTCTCTCCCCCACCACTCCTTTAGCTGTGTGGTCTCAGGCCTGTTGATCAACCTCTCTGATCCTCATTGTGATCATTCATTAAGGGGGGCTATTAAAATGATCTCAGAGACCCATGGTGCTTAACACAGTGCCTGGCACATAGTAGCTGCTCAGTAAATGACAGCCATCCCTATGACCGTGTGCTGAGAGGGAGGCAAGTCCCATAGCTGTCTACTCTGGCCTCCAAGGTCGGGGCTGGGTTTGCGCAGCAGCAAGGGGAGGGGACAGGGCTCTGCCACGCTGTTCGTAGTCAGAGGCAGTCCCCTTGGACAGACTTGGTCTTGGCAGGCCCTTCTCCCTGGCTGTCTATCTTCCAGGAGCCCCAGAGCTCTGTTCTTCCTTCCCCGGCTGAGGCAGCTGATGAGCCGTGGTCGGGGAGTAGGGTCGGTGATCCCCCCAGTCTCTCCTCTTCTCTGAGCCCTGGTTTACCTACAGGCATGCAGAGGGATGGTTTCTCTGGGCTCCTTCCAGGATTTCAAAGCCTAGGGCGTGTAGTGTTGAGGACTCCAGGGGGTGGGAGGCTGCCCTGCGGTAAGGGGACTTGGAAGGGAGGCCTCGAGAGAGTCAGGGCCATCCCTGTGGGGAGCAAGGCCCTGAGCCAATATTGTGGGCCCCTCCGCTCAAGTTTTGCCAGGGAAATATTGGGTCAGGGGACCAAGGGAGGTAGAGGAAGGAGGTGGGGCTGGGACTGTGGGACTCAGTGGAGGTGGAAGGGTGGGGAGGAGGGGGTTGTTGCTTGGTCTGTGTGGGCCTTGGCTCAATGGGGGCTCTGGAGCCTAAGTGGGGGAAAAGTTCCTGGTTGGGGAGAGGCCAGGGGGACCCCGGATCAGGAGGCACCTTCTCTTTGGTTCACCTGGGGGCAAGGGGAGAGTGTCTTTATAGCTAGAAAAGCATCTCAGAGACCAGCTCATCTACTGGAAGGAGGAGAGGATGAGGATTTGTCTGAGAACCTTCATGAATTAGGATTAGATGGTGTCCCGGTGTCAGAGGAGCTCAGAGGGGGACAGGCTGGTTGTGGAGGAGTGGCCAGGCGGCTGTGGGAGCCAAAGCGGAGGGGCAGCCTTCTCTCCCTGGGGAATCTTTCCAGGGTACATTAGAACTGCCTGGGAGCTCTACAAAATCCTGGTGGGCAGCCGGCACCCACAACCGTCACATGAGAATCCTAGGGTGACACCCAGGCATGAGAATTTTTTAAAAACTTTCAAGTGCACACGAGTCACCTGGAGCTCTTGCTAAAATGCAGAATCGGTAGATCTGCCCGGGCCCCTGAAATCCTGCATTTCCAACAAACCCCCAGGTACAGCCGCTACCTTCCAGGAGCCCCGGGGCTGGTCCTGAGGCCAGAACAGGAGCAGGCAAGCTATGGCCTGGGCCCCAAATGTAGCCTGCCATCTGTACAGCCCATGAGCTAAGAAGGCCTTTTACACTTTTAAGTGGTTAAAAAAAATAATTGGAGAAAGAATAACGTTTTGTGACACATGAAAAGTATCTGCAATTCAAATAAAGTCTTAGTGGGACAGAGCCAAGCCCATTTCTCAGATTGTCTCTGGCTCAAGGGCGGAGGTGAGTAGTTGTGAAGGAGATCAGCTGGCCCTCAGAGCCCAAACTATCTCTTATCTGGCCCTGTACAGCGACAGCGCCCCAGCCCTGGGTGTGGGAAATGAGATCTCTTGGGCCTTGAAGAATGAGTAGGAGTTCTCCCAGAAGCAGAGGGAGCTGTGCAAAACCCAGGAACATCATGAGCAAAGACCCAGGAGCAGGGGGCCCTCTTCCGAGGGGGCGGGACTTGGGTCCCTCTCGGTGTCCCCGGGGGTCAGAGCGGCCTTCCTTTCTTTCCTTCTGAGGATCCCCAAGTCCTGGCTTCCTACACCGGGTTCTCTGCAAACCCCGGCTCCTGCTTTGCCAGCCAGTCTCCCCCTCCCTTCCTGACCTCTCGTCCATGGTGTCACCAAATCTCCCCTCGCCTGGGACCAGAGCCTAAACATCCTTTTCTCTGACTTGGGTGATTCTGACAAACTTCTTGGGCCTCGTTAGTTTCTGAGAGAGAAAGAAAGAAAAATATGTTTCATGGAATCGCAGAATATCCAAGTTAAAAGGAAAGTAGGCATCGTCTAGTCCGGCTCTCCTCCAATGAACTGATGGGGAAATGTGGTACCAAATCCTGTGCAGTCGAGTGAGGGGGATTTCATTAAAGGCCTGCAGCTCACAGCCAGATTGAGGGGCCCCTTTGTTCTCACAACGTTGAGAGCATTGTGCCATTTGGAAAACAGAATTGGGAGTGCAAGTCTGTGTGTGTGTGTGTGTGTGTGTGTAAAAACAAATCATGCAGTGAATTAATTATCCTCAGTTTTACAGATAAGGGAACTGAGGCCCAGAGAGCAGAGGCAACAGGCTGGTGGCCGTGTGCCACTCCTTGGTGGCCGACGTAGGAGCTGCGCCCATGGCCTGCAGCCTACCCTTACCCACAGCCAGGCCAGGGTGCTCTCGCAGTCTCCATCAGAGCTCAGGGCCCCAGAGACTCCCACCTAGTGTTTGCCCCCGAGCTTCCTAATGGTGCAAGATGCTGTCATCTGATCTCTTAGAAAGCCACATTCCAGATGGACTGGTTCTGGCGGTGGTGTTTTTTTAAGGAAAGATTGAGAAGGAAAACACATTTCCTTGAGCAAGCAGCTTTGGACCAGATGCTTGGGCCATGCACCGTTCAAGATCCATGTTGGCAATGGTAGGAGGTGTCTGGAGCATAAAACCTGCCATCTGGGGTCTGGAGGTACCGCCGAAAACAATGAAACAAAATACCCAGAAAATGGGGGGAAAAATCTGTGAAAATGGCAAGACCTGAAATTCTTTCACACACACTTCCTGAGAAACCCTGACAGGCAGGTAAGACTCTAGCAATTGCCCGGGGTTTCAGGAATGGGTGCACATTGCCGGATTTAAAGGGGGTCCTGCTAACGGGGGAGTTCCGGCGGATGATGGGCCAGGGCGGAGGATGCTTGGGAGGCAGGGGGGCCCTTGCCTGCCCCTGGCCCAGGCAGGGAAGGGGCTGCCTGCTCCTCCTAAGTCCCAGCCAGGCCCAGTCCTCTCTGCTGCCCCGCAGATGCCTCTTGACATCTCCTGGGAAACATGGGGCAGGTGTTTCCAAAAAGGCCTCCCACCTTCCAGCCGGAGACAAGCAGGCTCTGTGCACCGCGCTCGCAGGGACGTATGTAGCAGCAGATTTGTAAGCGGATTTCAGCTGTACCCCTAATCTGAGGTGGAAGCCCCCCTGAAAGGCTTTTCTCCCCTCGTAGCAGCCCGAGACGCAGCTACAGGGATGCTCTGGGTTTCCAAAAAGGAAAGAAACAGAAGCAAAGATTAGGGGACTGCGCTCCGTCGTTTTACTGCCACGGTCAGCCAGCCGGACCGGGAGCCAGGGCGGCCGTCAGTGTGACCTTATTTCCCTCTCTGGACAACCGGCCAGGAAGGTGTGGCTGGTTCTGTGGCGGATGACACGCGTGTGGTCACGCAGCTGAAGGGAGGTCCGCGGGGGAGTCCAGCTCAGGCGGGGTGCCCACCGGCCTGCAGAGCGGCATCTCTCCCCACCACTGCCGTCCTTCCGTCAGGCTCGCTGGGAGGGAGAGAGCCGCCCTCCGTGGGCGCCTGCCGGCGACCACCTACCAGTGGGCACGTGGCTTCTCCCCAAACACAGCGCGATGCCTCTTGACAAGGCTTGGCTGGGCACACGGGACCCGGGCCTGCTGCGGTGGCAGCCCAGCTCGGGGAGGAGGTGCAGGTGTGAACACACGGGCCAGTGTCTGCGGGCGCACGTGCTGGCGAAGCGGTCGGGACCCGGGCTTTGAAGCCAGGCGCCTTGTCCCTGCCGTATAGTCTGGCTCCTCGCTGGATCTGGAGGGGTGGGGCTGACCTGGCCTTAGAGTGGAGGCCTCAGGGGAGGCCCAGCCAGCTCACAGGTGGACTGGAGCCTCCAGGACCACGGGTCTGCCTCTTGCACCTGAGTGGGTATGGGAGGTGGGAGCAGAGCCCTCCCTCTCCCTCCTGGCGGTGCCTCCCCTGCCCCAGACTAGTAGCATGGCACTCGAGGCCCTTCAGGGCAGGCTCCAAAGTCTCTCTGCAGCTTCATCTCCCACTGCCCCCACCCCCACCCCCCTCCACTGCACCAGACCCGGATCCCAAAC